AGAAACATTTCTAAAATAACTTCATTCATTTGTGAATAAGTCCTGCAACTTTCATTAAAATCCGACAATTATTTGATTTTTGAAAGAATTTCAAAAATCAATGCGTTTTTTACCGCAAAAAAGATGCTCAAATTTTCAATATTAATTTATGGTCACCCGTTGTCGCAAGAAAAAAGATACTAAATAGGATTTAAATTATAATTTCATAATAAAAATCCTTTGATCTTTTCTCTAAGTAATAATATAAAGATTTTGACGTTGAAGCTTGTAAAGTTTGGAGCATTTTTTCATCATGCATGGCCATTTTTATCGAATATTTGAGATTACTCATATATATATATATATATATATATATATATATATATATATATATATATCATATATATATCATCATCTTTTCATTAAGACATGTTTCGTTGAATAGTTTAGACATGTTCTGTCTGTCTATATTATTTGAATTGTTTGCGATGATGGATGTCTCGCCATTTAAATCATTAACCTTTGCATTAGTTTTTGTGTGAATAATTCATGTATATATATATATATATATATATATATATATATATATATATATATATATATATATATATATTATTGTCATCCACAGACAGACTGTTTCGCTGTATCACAGCTCATCACTCTGGTTAGACGTCCGGTTGCCTCTCTCTCTCTCTCTCTCTCTCTCTCTCTCTCCTCTCTCTCTATATATATTCATGGAAAATATAGTTTTAAGGTGTGCTATATTTATGGAATAAAGTGCTCAATATCAGAGACGGGCGTATGTAAATATAAATATAAAGTGAACATTGAATTCAACACTCAGAGGCGGCAGGCTGTTTCATGCTGGACGCAATCGTCAGGCGGCCTGATGATTGCGTCCATCATGAATCAGCCTGTCGCCCCTGAGTCTTCAATTCTATGTTCATATATATATATATATATATATATATATATATATATATAGCATTATTTTCAACACACACACACACACACACACACACACATATATATATATATATATATATATATATATATATATATATATATATATATATACTATTTTCAATTTCCTTAATCAAGCATATATATATATATATATATATATATATATATATATATATATATTTTTGTTTAAGGAAATTGAAAATAAGTATATATATATATATATAGTTTATCGTTTCATCTTCTAATCTTGAAGATTTTCAATTGGGCTGAACCCAAAAATTCTTTTGAAGCCGTTTTTTATGATGACTCGGCCCATTAAATTTTCTCATATCCCGTTTTGAATTTCTCGCCAATTTGACGATCAGTGAACCGTAACGACAATTCTGAGCATCACTTCATCAATGGCGACCCTGATCACCGATATTCCCATAAAATCCAACGGAATTAGGAAACACGGATTCTTGCTCACTTCATCACGGATCAAACTTAGCAAATAATGATCATACGAGTTTTGATCTTCATTGCTAAACGGTAGGTACTTACTAGTCGATAACAAAAGGATTTTTAACCTACAGGAATTTTTATTTATATGTGTTGTCTTTCGATGATCCTTTCGAATCTTTGAATGATCACGACCCTCCACAGTTTCCTTTTCCTTTGGAATTACCATATCTTCTTAGGAATCATAATGAAGTGGTTTATCATCGGCTATTATGAATTCCAGACCGTGAACTCAAAATGTTTTTTCACTTTGATAGTTACCACCCAAGACTAGAGACACCTAGTCTACCCTGATATTTGACACATAGTTGTGCTTTCTCCACTACTTTGCTTTGCGGTAACTGATGGTCTTTTACACCTGGGATTTATTTCCAGGAACATTTATTCTTTTTGTCATATCCATTCAGAAGGTAGCCGATCATCACTCTCCACAACTTCCTATCATTCGTAGCTCTTAGAGTGCCTTACGTAACTGGGAAACTTGTCTCGCACACCAATTCGATAATATAATGATTTCAGTATCTGTCTATATTTCTGAGATGAGGTATTATGTACACTATTTATATTATTCGGACTATTGTCCTCATCTTTGTCGCCATATTTATTACAACGTTTCGGCCTTTCAGTATCTGTCTATATTTCTGAGATGAGGTATTATGTACACTATTTACATTATTCGGACTATTTATCCTCATCTTTGTCTATTTATTACAACGTTTCGGCCTTTCTATCTGTCTATATTTCTGATGATGTATTATGTACACTATTTACATTATTCGGACTATTGTCCTCATCTTTGTCGCCATATTTATCACAACGTTTCGGCCTTTCAGTATCTGTCTATATTTCCGAGATGAGGTATTATGTACTCATTATTCTTTGTCCTCATCTTTGTCGCCATATTTATTACAACGTTTCGGCCTTTCAGTATCTGTCTATATTTCTGAGATGATGTATTATGTACACTATTTATTATTCGGACTATTGTCCTCATCTTTGTCGCCATATTTATTACAACGTTTCGGCCTTTCAGACTGAGATGAGTATTATGTAC